AGAAACTTGGGTCTATGTGTGGTTGAGGCCTGTGTTTGGGATCATAGCTGTGTAAGGAGGGATCAGAAGCTTCAACTAATCAGTTTGACTGTTCTTCACTACAATGTTATATCAAAAATACTAGACAATCAAAATTATAAGTTGAGCCAAGTTTTAAATATTATGGATCCTAAGTGCTGGTCTGATGATGTTTGTGTTAGTTGGATTTCCATCACAGCAGCAAACACCCCAGATAAGCCAACCTCAAAGAGGGAAGTGCACGTTTGAGTCACAGTTTTAGAGATTTGGGTCCATAGGATGTTTATCCCATCGATGAGGGGAACATCATGGCAGGTAGAGAGGGAAGACCAAAGTGGTTTCACCTCGTGATGCTTGGGAAGCAAAGAAAGGGAGAAAGGCCCAGGGGCCCAACAGACTCTTCCACAAGACACCCAATGATCTTATAGTCTTCCACTAAAAGTTTTGCCACTTCCTAATAGTGCCATGGGCTGAAGACCCAGGCTTTATTGTGTGGCCCTTTGGAGGACAGTTAACATTCAAATGTTAAGTGTTCTCCCCAAATTCACATATTGAAATCTTAACTCCCAGGTAGGGTTATAAGCAATACTAATAAAAGATACTTCTGCGATGTCTAAATACTGGTCTACGCACCTTACATGTAATAGCTTATCTATTTTTCACGACTCTTCAGAATGTTCTCTAAGAAACTTGGGTCTATGTGTGGTTGAGGCCTGTGTTTGGGATCATAGGAATTTTGTATTTAAAAAATGAAGGCAGATGTTGACTGAATTTCTCAAAATGTCAACGTCATAAAAGAGAGGTTGTGTGAGTCTTCCACATTATTTTCCACAGTATTGGTAGGGTTAGAAAATAACTAGCTCCCTTGAACAAGTAGTAGCCTGCTTGGAGGGCCTTGTTCCGTATAAAAGAGGCCCATGGGAGGTCATTCTCCCTTTTCCCCATGTGAGGAAGCAGACAAATGATGCATCTGTCAGTGGGGAAATGCCCTGAACAGAGGGCAAAACCTCAGGACCTACACCCTGAACTACCCTTCCCCCAGAATAGCAAGGGGTGGCTTTTCTATTGTGACAATGACATGCAATGTAGAATTTTTGCTACAGTGCCTGAAATGGGTTCAGATAATAGGTTTTTCCCATTTCTGTCTCTCTGGCTATAGAGAAGGGGTTTTGTTTGTTTGTTTGTTTGTTTTTAGCAACATTTTCAACCTGCTGAACAGATTATTTTCTCTTCCTCATTAGTAACACACTTTTCCTGTTATGAAATTAAAAAGTAGCTGGGGCTTTTGTACAATAGAGTAATTATATTTATTAACAGACACATTTTATGGCAAGTCATAAACCTTTAAAAATAGAAGTGCAGTTCTAAACATTCCTTTTTTATGGGTTGGCCCGGCAGGAGACAAAGAATGAAAGAAAGGTTCAGGATGCCCACCAGAAACATGTCATCTGAAGACCTGGAGGGGCAGGAAGGCTTGCACAGTGTGCCTTCTTGGGAAATAATTTTAAAGATACACAGAAGTTGGGAGAATCATACCAACTTGTAGAAAACAAACATAAGAAACAGAGTGATTCATAGAAAACAAACATGCCTTTCATTCAGACAATGCTACTGCTCGAGTTCACCCATTTGCTTTGTCACTATGAATATGTATGCATGCATCTACAAACACACTCATATACTGTTCTGAAACCTTGACACTAAATCACATGCATACTACATAAGGCCCAGTACCCAAAATGTAATGAATTTTCCAAAAATAGAGGTAATCTTTTCCTTGATCACAGTTCATGGCAATCTAATCCCCTGTGTGTACTCTACTTCACAGACTGACCCCATGCTCTCCTTTGCAGCACTTACTGTCTCTCCTATAAGACACACCCAGGATCATTCACTGCAGCTAGCTGCCACATATTTTCAGTAGAAAATAATGTGGAAGACTCACACAACCTCTCTTTTATGACGTTGACATTTTGAGGAATTCAGTCAACATCTGCCTTCATTTTTTAAATACAAAATTCCTCATTTTGAATTTCCTGGTTGTTTCCTCATGATATTCTCACATGTAGATCTCCAAATACAATGTTCAGTAGATGACACTTCTTCCTTATCAGGGGACATGTTGCTTGTCTGCCTTTCATTGGCTGTGTTAACTTTGACCATCCCGTCAAGTGGCTGTACGGTTTTGCTATCTCATGTCATTCTTATTTTTCCCCTCTTGGGTGAGAATGCTTTAAGACTGTGATGTCTTCAGCACCTTGACAGGATTTGGAATTAACAGGGAGACTGCGTGCTGAAAAAGAACATTTCCAGATGTTCAACTGAGGAAAGAGCCACTCTGCATGTAGGTGGCATCGTTCCATGGGTTAAGGTCCCAGACTGCCTGCAAAGGAGAGAGCTCACTGAACTTAGGCCTTCATCTTTCTCTGCTTCCTGCTCCTGTCTCCCCATCACCCCACCCCACCATAATGAACTCTATCCTGGAAGTGTGAACTGAAATTAATCCTTCCTTCCTTCCTTCCTTCCTTCCTTCCTTCCTTCCTTCCTTCCT